CGCGCTTCGGGGTAAATTTTTGCGGCCGGAGCTGGTCGTAACCCGAAAAGTTTGTTAGTAGAGGCGTTCGTATCCCGAGGTACCACTGTATAACTACTTCTAATACATGGTTCTTATTAGTGATGCTTTGAAATATGCATAAACCAACACACCAACTAGAATTACTACTGAGATTAAGATACGTGTATATAGCCCAAACATAAAGCTTTAATTCTATTGAGGAAACAGGTGGGACCAAAACTCAATAAATGACATAACTTATTTTTCATCCAAGGACAGGACCAAGAAAAATGAGGAACCCAAGACCTGTCAATAATACTGGTTTAAAAATACAACCTATCTGTTGTTAAATAAAAAGTCATTGGGCATATTTAGACAACCTCAAGCATGCTTTTATATTTTGTAATTGACATGAATGCAAAAACAAGTGTTGTAAGATCTTTGGGACAATCTTACTAGTCTGCTGAAGATACTGCAAAGAAGCCATTTCCCGAACTACATTCTAGCCAATATATTAAGCCCAGCTGGCAGTAAATGAAGAGAGGGAAATTAAGTAAATTGTGGGATAGAAAAAGTTGTAGTCGGGACATGAACAAAGAAAAGGAAGGGAGACATCCATTATCTATTTCTCTTAGTAATGTAATTTTTGAAAATTAAGAATGCTGCAACTTGAAGGGTTTTTTCTAGCCATTCCATTCTACTCCATTCTTCACAGGTTTTCCTCTCCCCTCAAAAGTGATGTTTTTCTGGCTTTTCCCCAATGATGCTTAATGATTCTCCTTAATAATTCCATTCATTTTTTAAAAAATTGCATTCACTTATGCTTCAGGCAACACGTACTCAATTTCATGAGTCTGAAATAGTCTGTGATTTTTTTTAATGTCCATTACTATTATTTTTCTACTTCTGCATGGATAGTCTAGCACTCCTTTGACATTTATTTTTGTGAGGGACTGTAGGAAATCATTCTTTTCAAAATCTTTCCCTTGAGCACAGCAGTTCTCTTCAGAATCCTCTTGCTAAGTTTAATTCCTGTCAGATGCCTGATGCCTCCAATCTTCCATATTTCTCACTTGCCGCAGCCTCCATTCCATCACCTTTTTTACAGATATTGAAATGTCTCTATTTATTTCAGGGATGAGGTCTACAGTTGGCCTTTGAGTGGTATGCCAAGAGCCCTATTCTAGACAAGGATAGAGCTGGGACAACGAAGTGGGAAAGGGGTCAGAACAAAAATGCTAAATGTATTTAACTGCAATTTCATCTAATATAATTACATACATTTCATATGTTACTCATCATGTCCTGAATAATGTTCTTCTTTCTCATTAAAAATTACACCGGGGTAGAGCTATTAGATGGCATTTAAGAGATACAGAAAACTCTCTTTGCTGTCTTCTAATGATTATCTGGATTTTTGCAGCCTAGATGTGGTAGCTATCATATTATGCTTAAGTTTACAGATTATATTTCTTGGTACAAGATACAGTGGCACATGATCTGAAACAAATCAATCTCTAGCTTGGCAATTTCTCGCTTCATAAGAACAGGTAATCTGTTTTGAATGTCAGCCATGATTGGTGCACCATCTACAGTACAGCCATTCAGGGTAAATTGGAATGGTACAATTTATCCCATATAAATGTAGTTGGACCTTTCTGAAAAATATCACCTTGTTTATCATGTCACACTTTGCCCTAAAGCCAGTGATTCTTCCATACACCTGAATCTAAGATGACGCCAAACCAAAAATCAGGCAAGAGTTAATGTTATGCCTTGTGAATATTTCTCCACATACACAAAGCATGTCAAGTAACAGACCAGCTATATATCCCTGAAATATTATCCTTCCACAAGCAGATTTTTTTCATGCTAACTTTCCACACAGAATATTTTTTTAATGTTATCTGTCCAATATGTAATTCTCAAAATGGTCCTGCTATTGCATAGTTCTGGGAAAACTATACAACTTGATTAGGCTGGATATTTCAGCCCTGAAGTCTGTAGGTCAAAGTATGTTTCAAGATGGCAGTTGTAAATTATGCTAGGTGCTGTTAATATCTGATTACATATAGAATCTTGCTTTTTATTTCTTCCTCCCTTCTTTTTCTTTCTAAATATCCCTGAGAAACAACTCAAAAGGTGACATTTTGTGACAGTTTAGTTGATTCTATTAACAGTATCATCTAACAGTATATTTTGGATTTTCTAGTACCGAAGGCCTGTGATTGCTTTTTGGAAAATATCACATTTAGATCTTTAGGATGATTCTTTTTGCAACTGAAGATTTTATATAACCTGAAGAGCAACTGTCCTGTTCATCCATTATATAGTACTGTACAATTTGACTAACTTAATACCTACTGTAGTGCACCAACCAAAATTATAAAGACCATAATGTTTCTTGATTTCCACTGTCTGCCAAACCAATATACTTCTGTGATCTAATCATAGTAGGGACTATGGGGGACTAATGAG